GCATTTAAAAGTGATGGAGTAAAAAAACAAATAAAAAGAGCTACATGGGGTTTAACACTGCAAAGAGCTTTATGAAGTAATGAGCAACAGTGTGACCCAATTCAATTCTTGACGTCTCTCTGCAAGAGAGCTCTGAGAGTATACATGTAAAATGCCTGACTAGCCCGGTCAGCTGGCTCAGTGGTTAAGCATTGACCTATGGGCCAGGAGATCACATTTTGATTCCCGGTCAGGGCACATGCCCGGGCTCGATTCCTAGTAGGGGGCCTGCAGGAGGCAGACCATCAATGATTCTCTCTCATCATTGATGTTTCTCTTTCTCTCTCTCGCTTTCTCTCTGAAATCAATAAAAAAATTGTGGGAAGCTATCCATTGTCAAACACTATCATGAAAGTGCAACAAGGAACTCGGAAGGCTGATAAACCTTGAGCTTTTGCAAGGGCTAAAGCTATGCACCAATTGTTCTGTTGAGATCATGGTGACTCGAAGCAATTTCCTGACCTAATAGTCTCAAAGTAAATCTTTACTAATATTTACTAACCTTTGAGATAGTCTGTCTGCTACTGGATTGCCGTGCCTAACTGAGGGGAAGATGTGTATCTAAAAATTGAATAAAAACTAACAGGTCCAGGGCTTCAGAGAGCTTCTCCACTACAGGGAAGTTTCCACCTGGTTCCCCCATGATTTCTAAATTCATATTTCTTGTCTAGTGTTTTCATTTGTGCATCGGCCCCTTCTTCAGATCCAAAACCCTAGCCATGCTGGTTGTGGCATCACAAAAATATTTAAAATAAAAAATAAAATAAAATAAAGTGCCTGACTAGTGACAGTAGGGACAGCGCACTGAAGTGGAGGGGACACAGATGCATTTCACCTCCCTCTCTGCCACAGGAGATCATTGGGACATGGAGACAAGCTCTCGGGACGGAAATGTGTAGACGGAAGTAAGTGAGACTCGCGTGCAACAGCGTGCTTCCGAGCCTTCCACGCCCCTGCCTTGCCCTGAGCGGCACTCACTTACCGGCCGTCTGGGCTTCAGTGCTGTTCAGGTTCACGAAGCCGGGGAAGTTCTCCTCTTCCTCCTTCAGCTGGTGCTCCAGCCTCCTCACCGAGTCGATGCTGCCGCTGCACTCCGCCAGCAGTTTCATCTGTTTGGACCCAGAAAACAAACAGAGGCCCCGTCACCAGGCTCTCACACTCCCACGAGTGCAAGGGCTTCTGGGGAAATGTCTTTGAGGTTCCTCAGAAAGCACAGCAGCTGTGCCACTCGGCTAAACAAGTTCAAAAGCATGCTGCTTAAACATGTGACACCTCCATACACACGTAAAGCAAGGCTCAAAGATATGCTTTGCATATGTGCGTTTACATGGGAAGTCCTCAAAACATTTTTGAAATTAAGTTTATAAATCAAGACAGACTAGGCCCTGCTCGGGTAGCTCAGCTGATTGGAGCGTTGCCTCGATACGCCAAGGTTGTGGGTTTGACTCTCTGTAAGGGCACATACAGGAAGCAGCCAGTGAATGCTTATAGAAATGGATCGGCAGACACATGTTTCTCTCCCCTTTCCTCCCTTGCTTCTTCCCTCCCTGCTCTCTCTTTAAAATCAATAAATTAAAAAAAAATAACAAAGACAGATTAAACCCATCTTGGGTTTAAACTCAGAGCCCTTAGCTGGTATTACATTACATAATTTCTGGCAAGTTGCTCCCTCATTCTTAAACTGAAAAGTGGAAACAATAATATCACCACAAATCTCAAAGGCACACTTTTTTTGCATTAAGTAATTAAAATACTTAAAAGCATAAAGCAATATTAAAACCAGCTGCTTCATGAGAAACTGGAACCACTGCTTTATAGGTATTACGGGAATAAAGCCTAATATCAAAGGAGAAGCTCCCAACTCCATGCTTAGTAGCACGGCATTCGAAGGTTAAAGGAACACGTCATTCCAAGGCATGCCTGCTCTCCTGCTCTCCTGCCCATAAAGTCACCTTTTAAAGCCTGTAACGAATCACATTGCTATTAAGTGACTTTGATTGCTTTTGATTGAGGTTGACTGTAATCTCAGTGATGTCAGCGCTGACCTCAGGAAACTATATTATATTTTGCAAAAAGAGGTTTCACTCTAATAGAAGTCGGTGTAATAGGCCAGATTGGACAGGAAGTGAACTCATGATTGGCCACTCTTTTGTAATTGTGGGGATGTGAACATCAGCATATACAACTAGAATGGTTCTCTTCTCTGATTTCAAAAAGAGTCTGTGTGACTTTGGAAAATTACCATTTCTTTCCTGCCCTAGCCAGTTTTGCTCAGTGGATAGATAGAGCATCAGCCCACAGATTGAAGGGTTTGATTCAGGTCAAAGGCATGTACCTCGGTTGCAGGCTCGATCCCTGGCCCTGGTCGGGAAGCAACCAATCATTGTGTCTTTCTCACATCAGTTGTTTCTCTCTGTCTCTCCCCCTCCCTTCCACTCTGTCTAAAAATCAATGGAAAAAATATCCTCGGGTGAGGATTAACAACAACAAAAAATATTTCTTTCCTTTTACTCAGCAGTCTTTGGGGTGGGAAAAGAAGGTATGAAGCATGGATGAGATTTCCTTTCAGACTCTCTTGCTTGAATATGTGTAGGAAAATAGGTAGTTCTCTGGGAAAAATTGGACAGTAACTTGAGCAGAGCAAAGAAAGTCATTATATACTTTCCTAAGAGCTTAAAAAAAAAAGGAGCAGTAATATATACACTCTTTTGCTATCTTTTCCACAAATTCCTCGTTAGAATTGTTTTCTCCAGAATGAACATTCTGAAAATAGAAGACAAACACATTCCCAAGGCCATCCAGTGAATCAATAAGCCCAAGAAAAGAACTTAAAAAATTCCTTGTTAGCAATCTATTAGCTAAAATCTGTTGCTCCAGGGATCACCATGGTCCAAACACGATTAGCTGAATTTGGAAAAATGCCTAATCACTTTCGGGAGCCAAAGCATTTTGTTACTTTCAATTAAATGGATCTCACTAAGTTCTCCATGTAAAGGAACAGGCTGGCCATTGCAGTAGGTTAGTGGGACTGCCACAGTCCAGCTAGACGCAACAGGTAACCTGCTGCTAACAGGGCTTTGTTTTGCACACCCACGCTTGAGTTCAAGGGCAGCGTGGTGTTTGGAGAGCTCTTAAAGCCTTCGTGCCCCAGACAAATTGTCCTCAGTCACACAACTGTGACTTTCAGGTGCCTGTCCGAATCCCGGAGGTCAGGACACTCACGTAGCCACGGTAGCTGGCGTCCAGCTCTGGTCCTGTGGGAGTTTTGCTGCGGATGATATCTTCTGTTTGCTTCATCCGAAGGCGGCTGTCGTCCAAGGCTTTGCCCAGTTGTCGGATCTGTGACTCTAAGGCACTGGGATCCCCTGCAGGGTCAACCATACGAGTTTTTACAAGCTTTGCAAGCGTGACCTTCAAGAAGTTTAAGGAATTATTGCAGTTAAAGCTGTATAGACACAGCATGGGTGAGGGCAATTATAAAGCAAGTTTAGTACTGACGTGCTGGTGAGCTAGAGGTTTAAAGGACCAGACCGATGAACGTGCTTCACTAAGAGTCCGAGCTGCCTGGGTACTGCAAAGGGCTCTGCAGTGGGTTCTCCCAGCCCCTGCGCCTGCCCCTTTCACAGTGGATCCCTTGAAAATCTGCACACTGTGACCTGTGGAAGGCCTTTCTAAAAACCTCGTCTGCTCCCCAATAACTGCAAGGCAGCTACTTGTCATGCTCCCTCTGCAGTCACTTCTGAAGCAGAAGACGACACGGCCTCTCATTTTCCTTTCTGCATCTCAGCAGAAGACAGTGCCCCTCACGTGCCAGGTGGCCGCGTCATTCCCTTAAGGCAGGACTTCAAGTTAGCCAAGAAAAGACTCGCTCAAGATAGGTACGTATGGAAACAGCAAACGAGCAATGACTTGCTTTTGTTTAAAACTTGAATCCAAAGCAGGAGAAAGCTAAGACTTTAGCATTTCCCTCTCGGCTTGCTCTTCCTCGCAGCCTAGAACTCCCAGCTCATTCTCCTTGCAGAGATGCAATACCTCTTAGCAAAATTATGTGCGTGAGTGTGGGCATGCATGTGTGTGTGCATGTGGCGGCGTGCTTGCATGTGAGTATTGCAGTCTTTAACTGGAACAAGAACATGGATTATCAGAGTGAAGCCAGCACAGGGTGAAAGCAGAACAGATATCAGTGAGCCTTATGACTTTTTGTTTAAAGGTCTTCTAACTACACCTGGAAGACGTCTTGCTGGGAACCAGGCTGTCACCATCTCAGCAAGGGTACTTTGCTTCCTGTCCTTTTGTTTTAAAAAATGTAAGTGTGAACTAATAACGCAGCTATTCATTACCACATCACTGTGTTCCAACCCTACGCTCCACCCTCCTCCAAATTACTGACCCTGAACTACATCCAGTTTGTCTAGTGCTGTGGTCGGCAAACTGCGGCTCGCGAGCCACATGCGGCTCTTTGGCCCCTTGAGTGTGGCTCTTCCTAAGCCTTAAGAGTATCCTAATTAAGTTAATAACAATGTCCCTACCTATATAGTTTAAGTTTAAAAAATTTGGCTCTCAAAAGAAATTTCAGTCGTTGTACTGTTGATATTTGGCTCTGTTGACTAATGAGTTTGCCGACCACTGGTCCAGTGCATTGTTAAGCAAACTGGTTTCATGTTGCTTCCTTTCATTTTTCTTGTTTCGGGAATCCTTCTGTCCTGAAAGAAAAATCTACGTCTTAAGGCACTGTGGAATACAGTTTTCATTTCGAAGTATTTATATGTGGTCAGACTTACTAAATAGCATTGACACAGAGCTGAACATCTGGTCTCAGTCCTTGTCTAATGTGTGACCCCTGAGATCGGGAGGATGAGCGGCGGCCCAAGGTCACCCATGTAGGCTGGTGGTTCAACCAGAGCCTGAGCCCTGACTCTCCAGCAAGAGGGAGATGGGCAACTCATCAAAGCCACAAAGTCAGGGCTGCTACAAAGCCACAGGGCACCGGGCACACAGGCTGAAGACCAGGGCTTCCGTCCCCTGTTCTCTGTTCCCTATGGGCATTGCAGGTGCGCACCTCACGAGGCTAATCACCACTGAGCAGGCGAGAAGTTACTGCACTGGGCTATTCAGCTCTTACTCTGGGTGTTGCTTAACCTCATGTTTGTTTTTGTTCTCATGGTACAGCAGTCAGAAGAGAAGATTCTGCCTTAACATGCTTGTGCCACAGAGCCGAGAGAGGGACAGGCGGTGCGGAGAGGGGCCTGTGACCGGTGAGGGCGGGAGGCTGCCTTGGCTGGGCATGCCTACCAGAGGTATTTCTGATGGCACTTTCTGTGAGTTTTACATAGGCCTCGGGGCTTTCGGGGATCATGACATCTGCGAAAAGAGCACAGTCTAAGTTGACAGGTAAGTTCTGGAAACATCGATTCCCTTGTGGCAGGAAAACAACTTTCCTGGGGGAAAAAGGAAGTTAGTTCTTGTAGACAGATAGCTCCTGGGCACGTTTTCTTAAAGTGAATCCTAGTGAGGGCTCCCACTCACTGGTTGACAGTGTTTTATGAGACAGGCACTGTGTCCAGCAGTCATGTACCCTCAGAGCAACCCTACAGAGAATGGGAGAGTCATTGCCATTTTATGGATGAGAAAATTGATGCCCAGAGGAATTAAGTTACTTATCAAAGTCTAAAAAGCTACTAAAGAAATTTCAACCCAGAGACTCAGATTCCAGAACAGTGCTGAAAGAGGCCAATGGACATAACGTGAGCTGCACATGTAATTTCTAACATCAGGGTTCAAAAAGTAGTAAGAAATAGATGAAAATAACGTTAATACTTTATTTTACTAAATCAATACATCTAAATTATAGCATGGAACCAACATGTTCATGTTTAATATTCTTTCTTTGTGTAAGCCTTTGAACTTCATGTATTCATGGAAGTGTGGCTGACACAGCAAAGCTCAACTGCAGTCACATTTCAGTGCTCAACCATCAGCGCTCCAGTGGCTACATACTGAACAACGCTGATTTCCATGCCAAATGCCTAACTATTAGGCGATACCATAAAGACAAAACAGAAATGAGAGAAATCACATCTTTCACTAAGGTACTCAAGCCAGAAAATCGCCTCATCCCAATTCTGTCAGCCATCAGTTATGGAGGAGACTGCTTATGATTTGTCACATCTCTTCCCTTCTCTCTATTTCCCAGTGCTGCTCCTTTAGTTCAGGCCACCATCCCATCTCTGTCCTGGATTAGAAAACGTTTCCATTTGGACTCTCTTCCTCCCAATGCACTTCCCTCCATCTAGTACTTTCAAGACAGGTTCTTTGAAAATATGCATCTGATCACATTGCTTCCCTCCTTAGGCCCCTGCTGTGGCTCCCTATTACCTTCTGGATAAAAGCCAAATGCCTTTCCATGTGAATAGGCGGCATCATGACCAGATCCTGGTTGGCCTTTTCACCTCCTCTTTGTCCACTCTATGCTTCCCAATCTACAGCCTTGTCGCTGTGAACAAACCTCAGTGCCCAGTAGTACTGCGGCTACTCAGGAAGCTGGGCTGGGAGCCCTCCGCTTTCCTCCTCTGAACATTGCTGCATCCACCTGACCAACTCCTCCTCCTCCTTCCAGGCTCAGCTCAAGGTCCCTTCCCTAAAGCCATTCCTCAAAGCTCCGGGTTAGGTGTCCCCTGGTGTACCTGCCCATGCACGTTAGACCCTGGTGCCAACATGTCCTACTTATTGTCCGTGTCCCACACTGAGTGTAAGGAAAGGAGCTGGGTGTTCCCAGCACTTAGCAAAGTGCTTGTCATATTGTAAGACCCTAAGTATATGTGGGATAAATCAATAGCCATGCCAACGTTTGTATTTGACGGTCACACGGATATCCAATGTTCCCTTATGTACACTTTCCCGTCATGGGAGAAGGAAGAAGATGGGTCTGCTGAGTTACATGTTTCCAGTATAATATCCACCCCCTTTTACTTCCTTTTAAGCTGGTATATAGGAAGTGCTCTTTCCTACCTGATAAGCCAACAGCTCCTCTGAGGTAGAAATCTTTGTCTTCCTGACCCTCTTCATCCTCAGAGGGCAGAGTTCTGGACACGGCAGACTCCAGGTCACGACTGAGGTCATAGTCATGGTCCCACTCCAGGGGGATGGAGTCCACACTGGCAGGGGTGTCTCGTCCTGACCGCTCGCTCCGGAGGGGCTGGGCGAGGGAGAGGGAGGGGTTGGAGGAAGGCTGGGGGGACAGCACGCTGTCCGCGGAGGTGTCATGCCAGCGGAGGTCTGAGAGAGCTGCCGAGTCCTCCAGCTCCAGCTCCCGGTCAGAGAGGTCGTGCTCATCGTCTGGGAGCTAGAAAGGCAGTCAAGCCAACTCCGTTACCGCAGCGACCAGGGGATCCCTCCTCACGTCTTGTCCTGCCTCTCGCCAAAGCTCAGAGTTCACACTTGTCGGGGTCACATTCCTACCTCAGTGGGGATACTTTTAAACTTCCTATCACCAAATAAGCAAGAATCTTGTGCTCACTTTTAAAAATGTCATAAATTAATCTAACAAAGCCTCAGTTTTATCAGCACTAAAATGGAAATAATATTAAAAGCTACTGCCCAGCTGGTGTGGCTCAGTGGATTGAGTGTCATCCCATGGACCAAGAGATCCTGGGTTTGATTACCAGTCAGGGCACATGCCCAGAATGTGGGCTCAATCTCCAGTAGGGGGCGTGCAGGAGGCAGCTGATCAATGTGTCTCTCTCATTGATGTTTCTATCTCTCTCTCTCCCTCTCTATCTAAAAATCAATAAAAATGTATTTTAAAACAAACAAAAAACTACTTCAAAGATAAGATTAAATAAGATAATGTAAATAAAGGCAAGTTAGTACTATGCATGCAACATAACACAAACATAGTGGCACATGTCAGAAACAGAAGGAAATCACTGTTAAAATTCTAGCTGGTCCATTTTAAACTTATATCCCAGACACAAAATATAGTTAACACAGAAGGTTCCGAATATTCTGGCAATAACATCTCAACACTGAGATATGATTAAGGCAGCAATTAGGGCAATGGGAGAGAAAAAAATTCCACAAAACAACCTCATCAATAGAGCAACTATTTACATTGTTCACATTCATCTCCTTTCTTCTAGAAGCTTCTTTATTTATCTTCCATAGATGATATGTGCCAAGTACTCTTCTAAGCTATCTATCTATCTAGCATCTATTTATCAATCATCTATCCATCCTCATTTCATGCCCCAAATAATCCTTTCTACAAGGTAGGCACTGTTATTAAACTAGTTTCACAGTTGAGGAAACTGAGGCAAGACACGTGAAGTAAGTTGCCGAAGGTTACGTAACCAACACATCAGAGCTGAAACTGGAACCCAGGCATTCTGGATCCGGTGTCTGGGCTCTTAGCTACTAGACAAAACTATCGAACCCCGCATCACGATTTCTCTTTAGATTTGACAACAATGAAAGACTGGTGTTACATACAGGCAGGCGGATCAGCTTCTTGTGGTATCTCTCCACGCGCCCGAAGACCTCCTGACAGTAGCGCCGCAGCTCGTCCAGCTCCTCCTCGATGATCGCCGCATCCAAGGGCTCGCTCTTCTCAATCAGCTGCTCTCCTTGGGCAATGATCTGCTCGATCTTGCTGTGGTTCAGTGAAATTTCCTGCTGGAAGGCCTAGGGAGCACACGTCCCACGTGATTTTCATTGCTCACATTGACATGAAATAATAAGCTACATCTTTAGAAAAACCATGTGGGGAGTAGTTAACTTACCCTATACAATGACAAGACAAGAGGCTTTTACTTTATGAAGTAAAACATAAACATTTTAAGTCAGAACATGAGTTGGAAATGGAATCACTGAAATTCCATGACCAGAAGCGTGCCTTGGGCTACTCCAATCTACTACCGTGGACAGTGTGGGCAGAAAATGAGAGGAGAAAACATTCAAACCCACCATGAATCCATAGCACTGGTTATCCCTGATGACAATCAACTGTAATCATTACAGTGCCAATGAAATAAATGTAGCACTTTAAAGACATATATTGAATATTTTCATTTTAGATTTAATCGTACATCAGACATGACTAAGAGAAACCAAGCAAACCCACCATGAATCCATAGCACTGGTTACCCCTGATGACAATCAACTGTAATCATTATAGTGCCAATGAAATAAATGTAGCACTTTAAAGAAATATATTGAATATTTTCATTTTAGATTTCTTGATCGTACATCAGACATGACTAAGAGAAACCAAGCCAATGACAATATCATCAATTCTACTCAGATGATTTTTGCTGTTTCGGGACATGAGCAGGAAAGATGAAAATGATTTGAAAAATAAGTAATTCTGGAGAATCATTTAGACTCACTTTACATGGTTCAGAAGAGTTAAGCTACTTGGGATAAGTGTCAGGGGATACATTTTAATTCGCAAGAATAAACTCTGGAATAGTCAAAACCGTCCAATAATGAAGACTGCAAGGGGAGAATAGAGGGCCATAATGAGTTCTATGTCCCTGCCAGACTCCAAAAAGAAAAGCTCAATTACCACTTGGAGTAAATGCCCTGCCAAAGGTTTTAAATATTGATTTGCCTGTGAGACAACTTGGAAAAGTCAGGGTGGGAGGGACGGAAAGAGGGGTTGGGCAAAATACCTGGTTTAACTATTTTATGATTTTTTTCATCCTAATATATGATTAAGAGCAACTTTCTGTTTTATTATAATAACCTAAGGTTATAGCCATCATGATTTTATGTAGTTGTTAAATCTGTTTAACTATCTTGGGAAAAAAATTTCATAAGATGCTTTGCAAATTATTCAAATTGTTAAATACATTTCCACTTAGAGAATCCTTTTATCTAATCTAGTGGATGTCCCTTCTGTTTAAAATTTTAACTAGCCACTGTAGTTGAATTATATAGTGACGTATATAAAATATGTTTAAAATTAACTTGGCATCTAAGAGTGTAGAATATGTGGAATGAAATTCTAATATGAGAAAGTTGTAATTCTCTGAAACATAGAGTAACGTGGGGACAAGGACACATATGTAATATCTTAATCAATAAAAAATACATTAAAAACACACACACACACAGGAAAACACAAACACACACACACAAAACTAATCAGGAAAAAAGATTCCCAACACTGTGGCTATCAAGTTAATAAATAAAAGTAATATGTTAACGGTAGGTATCTCTGGGTAGTGCTCTATATTTCATTTTTAATATCCTTTTCATTTAAAAAATTTTTTTTTCAATCAATAAGAACTAATTTCTTGGTCTTAGAGAAGATCTTATGAATTTGACCCCAAAGGCAAGTGGAGTAAAGGCAAAAATAAATGAATGGGACTATATCAAACTGAAAAGCTTTTGGACAGCAAAACAAACCAAAAACAAAACAAAAAAGCAATCAACTGAATAGGAGAAGATATTTACAAACAACAGCTCTGACAAGGCGCTAATATCCAGAATATATAAAGAACTCATACAACCCAATACCGAACAAAACAAAAAAAGCAATCAACTGAATAGGAGACGATATTTACAAACAACAGCTCTGACAAGACGTTAATATTCAGAATATATAAAGAACTCATACAACCCAATACCAAGAAAACACACAATCCAATTAAAAAATGCACAGAGGATTTGAACAGACACTTCTCCCAAGAGGACATATAAATGACTAATAGATGTGTGAAAAGATGCTCAACTTCACTAGCCATTAGGAAAATGCATATCAAAAATACAATGAGATACCACCTCACACATGTTACAATGGCTATTTTCAACAAGACAAGTAATAGTAAGCTTTGGACAGGCTGTGGAGAAAAAGGAACCCTCATTCACTGCCGGTGGGGATGTAAGCTGGTACAACCACTATAGAAAACAGTATGGAGGTTCCTCAAAAAATTATGAATAGAGTTACCATATGACCCAGCAACCCCACTTCTGGGTATCTACCAGAAACATTTATTCACAAAGATATATGCATCCCTTTGTTCACTGCAGCATTATTTATGGTAGCCAAATCATAGAAATAACCAAAGTGCCCTTAGATAGATGAATGGATAAAAAGGATGCGGTGCATATACACAATACAATACTACTCAGCCATAAGAAAAGATGGAATACTGCCATTTACAACAACATGGATGGACCTCAAGAATATCATGCTAAGTGAAATAAGTCAGTCAGAAAAAACTAAGAACCATCGAATTTTTCACTCATTTGTGGGATTAAAAA